AGGAATAAAGAATCTTATGTAAAACACTCCGCTATTTGTACACCTAGAGCAGAAAGCAAAACTGAGAGCCGTGAGGCACCACTGAAAAGCAGGATTAATACTGTGTGCAGTGAAAAAATATTCTTACCGGTTGTGATAGCAAGGCCCAGTACCACATATACTCAGTACTGGGTGCAGGACTTACTGCTGTGAGATGCCATCCCAAGCTCTACTATTCAAAATGCTGGCTGTGATTTGACACTGTCTTAGAAATAGTGTAGCACCCTTTGTGGGTCTGGGCACTATGCTCACTGGAAAAAAAATATGCAAGTAAGCAAATGCTAACGTAGGCCCCAATTCTGCTCTCTCCCTGGAGTAAATGAAAAGGGATGTTTTCCCATTTAAAAGTCAGTGGAGTTAAAAAATGTAAACTGGAGTGCCTGAAATCAGAATTTGTACCCTTACGTTTTGCTCAGTCAAGCCTTCCTGAAGTGAAATAGGGCTGTTAAATTGTGACTGATGATGAATGGCAAGTCACCTTCAGTGAATTAGCATCTGTGCATCATCGCATGCATTGCTAGCCAAATTTCGCTCTTCATACTTTTGTTTGAAGGGTGCCTTGGGTTCTACAATACCAAATAACAAAGAGTTAACAAATATCAAGTGCCTAATAGCCTATCCTGTTGGACAGCGGCGGTTCTAAATACATTAAGTGCCATCAAAGCTCTTTGTGTGAAATGACTTTCTGTTCTCTCCTATGATGGGAAATAGTCCATGTGAACAGTGAGAGTCTTTCTTGCACACAGGAGGTATTCCCTGCTCACAGAAGACACTGGATCCCCAGGCTCTGAAGCTGTGAAGTTTCATGCATACATTGCAACTAATTTGTGACCCTTCTTTTCCTTTGAAGCAAATCCCATTGAATCCAGTGGGACTTACTCTCAAGTAGTGTATTTATGACTGGCACTGAAGGCTTTCAATGAACTGTTGGAAACCGGCAGTCTATGAAGAGTGGGTCTAGACCAGTGTTCTTGTCATGTTTAACTCTATGTCAGGTTTCTCCCCTTATCATCCCAGTACTAGAGTTTGTCAATTTCCAATGCATACATTCTACAAACATGCATCATTTTCCTGGACGTCAGAGCTGGATCATTTCAATTGGTAAAACAATGCTGAATTCGGACCTTTGCATCATATATGCTGTGTGCCAGTACAAGATAAAAATAGGAACAGGCCTAAAGCGCAGGAGTGGGTTGAGGTGTGGCAAACAGTTGCTCTTTATTGGGGGACTCGGGACAGGAGGTGGGCATCCTGGGCAGCAAGCCCTTTGCATGATATGGCCCTTTCATGTCATTTCGGAAATAAAAATATTTTTTTTCCTTTCATGACCCCTGAGATTTCATGTATGGTATTGGGGAAAGACAGGGAGCGTGTGACAACTTTGTACTGGGCCCTGAAATAAGATTTGCAAAGTAACTTCAAGACTGTGAAGTAACTGGGTTCATGATCTTGCCCCACTAGCCAGATTTGGGTTCCACTTAAAGGAAAGACCAGGGTGACAGTGGTAAATGGAAACATGATCGTGAAATCTGCATATTATGCTTAAAATTCTTTTATAACAAAGTTGGAGTGATAGGGTGATGGCTAAGAAGAGGTCACAAGGTATTTTCCTGTACCACCGTGACCTCTTTACTAAGCTAGTTTTCATGCAAACCCCCCAGAAAGTGATGCACCAAACAGTGAGAGACCATGGGCTGCAGTGTGGACAGCGCCACTGCCACATGGCACTACCAGTACCAAGTGGTCTGGATGCGCCTTGAGTTCTGCTGTCTTGCAATCCACACTCGTTTCAATAGGGCTTGCAAAGGAGAAGTTAATCCAGCATTTTCAAGCTCCAGCCAGTTGCCAGCTCCTTGTCAGTGATATTAAGAGCCGTAGGTGTTTGACAGGTATACTTGCTTAGGCAGATAGTTGGTTTCGTTTAAATTTGTTCATCTTTTAAAGGTTCCCTGAGTTAATCTGATAAGTATTTGGGGGTGACCATCTTTAAATGGCTTACAAACTGGTGCATGAATGTGTGGTTATTCAGCATCAGCTCGGTATATGCCTATGTCATCAAAAGACAGAGAAACAAAAGGTATCACAAAAGCCTATTATTTTCTTCTCTCAGCAAAAAACAACAACAAAAAACCCACCACCCTGTGGGTGGAAAGGCAGCTTAAGCCCCACCAAGGAACTCCTCTCTACCCCACATCTAGCTTGGCACTGTATTCATGCATTGGGGTTTCATGTTTTCCTATGGGGGGAACAAGGACTGCTACCTCCTATTTTTTAGTTATGTCCTTGTATTGAAATTAGTATTAAAATTCAGGAGATGAAAGTCAACCGGTCATGTCAATTTCTTTGACAGATTTTTAGAACGATTTCCCCCATTGAGCTATACTGCAAACAACAACAACAAAGCATTATCCTGTTCTGGCATTTGGTGACATGGCTGCCAACTGAGCACAGAACGAGGCACAGAGCCCCCCCCCCTAGTCTTGGATAATGGTCATGAATTTAATCAAATGTCCATGTGTAGAAAGCAATTATACTTACTGCTATTGGTATCTAGGAAGTGGACTGCATGACAATTTGGGGCATTAGAGTTCAAAATACTTTTTTTGCTAAGAGAATGAAACATGGGTGAACAGAACACTACTGTTCTCATTTTGTCCACAGTTAAAATACACCTGAGTGAAGACATTTCCATTGAAGAAAACAGGGCTCCAGGTTTGGACTTTTAGCTATTGTTCTGGACCCAGAACCAGGGCTTGCATGCATCCTGTGGATTCCCCCCCCCATGCAGCAACAGACTTCCAAGCTATAGCACACAAAGGCTGCAGAACTAATCTCTGTTGACATTTCCAAGTCACATGGACATTGATGTTCAAGGAACACAAGCCTGACCATTCATACCCATGTCCACCTGGAACTAGTTGTATAGTTCCTGGGATCCTAATCCTGAACTACCTACAGTTGCCATAAAAGTGACCATGGGCAGACAGTAAGCATATTTCTAGTGCTTTACCTTTGTTAATTATTGATATGTGAATCTACAGAACATGGGGAAGAATTTATAAAGCATACTTTGGGAATAAGTTAGAAAAAGAAAGAAAAAGAGGAGGGCTCTTGATGCATTACACTAAACTAGGATCAATCTTCAGGGGAAAGGTTTTATGCCTCTAGAATGGATGGAAACAGAAGACCACCTAAAGAGACTGACATGAAAACAGGCTACTCACTATAGCACAGCAGTGGAATATCTTAGTGGTGTGCGTTTTCCTATTAACGCATCAGCAGACAAAACTGATCTTAGGGAAGTAAAAACAAGTGTAGGCCACTGAAATCCCCGGATGCGTCAACAATTAGCAACATGGGGAAATCAGATTAAGCAGCACCGTACATGTGTGTGTCGGGGCGGGGGGAGGTTGCTTACCATGACAACTATTTAGGCTTATTTCCCATAAATGCCTTTTGTTCCTTTTTAAAAAAGAATATCACCACACATACACACCAACGAGTAAAGTTGTCATCTAAGTGCTCCTTCATGGGTTCACTCTCAATGTAGCTCACTTCGGCTGATCCTTGTAGCTCACCCCACGGGGCAGCACTCCAATGACCATTTCTCCATTTTACTGTTTTGTCCATAATGACAAAAAAGGCCATTCCCAATGGATAATAAGCCCCCACAAGTGGTTGCCAGAATAGGCCCTGAGTTGTTGGGGTAAATCTTTGAAGCCAGCTGGATCCTACTTCTGTGTTAAAGACATCCCTGTTCTTATTGCATGCTTCCTCAAGACTTTTTTTAATTCTTTTAACGAATTTGAGTTTTTCAGGGGAAATACTCTTCATTCAAAATTGACCCTAATCCACAGCCTATGGAAAACCATCTGACTTGCTCAAAGACCAGACGCATGCATGGGCTGCCTCTTGCAGAGAGATCTTCATGTGCAGAGAAATGCGTCTGCTACCCCCAGAAATAAAGGGGAAGTTCTGAATGCATGTCAGAGCTCCTACACCCAAACGAACATCGTGAATTAGGGGCAAAGCAAACAGGCTACACAAAAGCTGGGGTGACAAAGGCATCTTTCCTTATTTTGCTCCGTGCAGTAACATTGGTGTGTGAAAACTGAGTGCAAAGCAGAATCAGGATGTCCTGGTGTTATTTTAGGAGGTCTCCCTTGCACATATGAACCCCAGATAAAATGAAAAACAAGAATGGGTAATGGACTTGGCCCATATGTTATGATATAGTATTACAAAATGTTCATTCAGAAAGGTTTTAAAGATATGCAGGGTTTTTGACTGACTGATAAATATCTCAAAATAATGATGCAATTATGGCATTGATGGAAGGCTTTGGCTGAGATGGGGATGGATTTTCTTAGGAGTGACAAACATATTAGAAACGACGACCACAGTGAAGTTAAAGTTAGGAACGGGCAAGTCCTACTCTTTTCAGTTGGTCTCAGGCATGGCTAAACTCACTCGATCCTGCCTGATTCCTTCAGCAAAGCAGGCACCCCTCCTTGAAACTGAGTTAATACTGTAAAATAAAAATATAAAATAAAATGGGGTTTGGAATTTAAAAAAAACACATTTGATTATCTACATATTCTCCTGCCACGATGGCATAGTTCCCCCTCTTTCCAAGCAGCGATGAGTGTGAGCTTGTGATCTGCCTGAGAGCTGGTGAATGAAACAGGTTCATTTGTACTCCCAGCATGAAAAGGATTCACATCAAAGGACTGAAGGACAAAAACAAACAAACAAAACAAAACAAAATAAATGCAACTGTCACAAGTACCCGCATTGAAGGGACATATTCATTCACGCCTATTTAAAAATAAAATAAAATCCCCCAAACGAAAACAAGGTTGAACAAACATGAGAATGGACGAAAGAGAAAAAGAACTAGGCAATGGAATGAAATGACACCCAGTAGTGCTATAGGAATTCTGAGAACCGCTCCAGCCTCTTTAATCCTCAAAGACTTCCAAGAACAAAGGGGGAAAGAGTTCTGTTGGGCATTCCACCTTCATGTGCAGGAAGCGGCTAGCATGGCAGGCTCCGATCATTCGCAGATCCGTCACTTTCATCAGCAGTTTTGGCCAAAAGTGTGCAATGTGGTGCTTTCGGTAATTAATGTAGTGTTCGAATGCCAGAAGGAAACCCTCCTGACACTTTTCTATCCTCTCGACACTGACGAGACCTGGGCGATCTGTATAAATTAAAGGAAAGATCAAAAGTTGTTTGCTTGCATTGATCAATACTTCACCAAAAGATCGCTTTGGCGAAACAGAAGGGCTGGAACCCAGGGGAACCAGGCCTGTTTCATCTGCTTGCCCAAATACTATCTGTGCAGACCCACTGAACACATACGTGAATACACGAAGCTGCCTTAAGACTCAGTCAGACCGCTGGTCTATCAAGGCCAGTGTTGTTCTCTACTCTGATTAGTGAAGGCTCTCCTGGGCTTCAGTAGAGGCCTTTCACATTACCTCCTGTCGGATTCTTTTAGCGAAAGATGTCAGGGACTGAATCTGGGACTTTCTGTATGCAAAGCAGATGTTCTACCTCTGAGCCATGCCTACTTCATTTATTTTACAGCCTAGTTTTGCACATTGCCCATAACTTTAATGACATTAAGACAGATTCAGGTGGGTAGCCGAGTTGGTCTGAAGCAGCAGAACAACGTTTGAGTCCAGTGGCACCTTTAAGGCAAACAGAGTTTTATTCAAGTATAAGCTTTCCTGTGCACACACCTTCTTCAGATACAGTGAAATGGAAGCTACCATTCCATACATAATAGGTAGAGGAAGACATGGTAACTTCCATTTCACTGTATCTGAGGAACTGTGTGCACACACGAAAGCTTATACCTTGAATAAAACTCTATTCACCTTAAAGGTGCCACTGGACTCAAACTCTGTTTTGATGACATAAAGTATGGCTTCTCTGCCCCAGCTGAAAGAGCTTCATTGCCTATCAAGGAAAGCCCAGCCTGGTCCATGAAGCCCTATGCACTCACCAACTCCTTTATTGCCTGGAAAACAGAGGATAGTGTTTTATGATACGGATGAGATGCCCTTCAAATCCCGGTTCAGGCCTACTGCATGGCTTTATTCTGGACGATGTCACGCTGCCCTGGAAGAGCAGGTTTGCAGTCTGTCATGACTCATGCTTTGCTTCTGGCTGCACAAGCGGCAGCTGTGGCCAGAAAGGCTCCCTGTCCATCTCGTCTGCCAGCTGCTTCCCCCTTTCTTAATAACTTCGATTTGGGGACTGGGAACATTTCAAGGAAAGCTAATCCTGTTTAAACCCTAAAGCCAGCAACCTTTCCGGGCAAAAAAACAAATCACCATGCATTTTGTTCATTCTTCACGGGCTAATATCCTGGGACTTCCAGGAGGTTATGCAGTGAAACTTCCACACTGACTTGGTTGTACACAGCTAAAAAAGCAATCACGTCATAATCTGCGCACAGCTTTTGTGACGTTACATTTGGCACTCAGGGACTGACTTTTTGAAATATTTGTATGAGTGAGTCATGGAAAATGATGCCGGGGTTGGTTATCCCTGCCTGGCAGTCTTCAGGGGAGCCAATAAGAATCTAGGATCCTGCTTCCTGGGTATTTCACACCATTTGCACGGTGAACGTACCTCCGACTAGCCATCTTAGTCTGTTGCAGCTAGAACACTTGTGCCACTTCAGGAACAAACAAATGGCACAAGCTGTTGTGAGCCAAAGCACACTCTATGAGATGTCTGATGAAGCAGGCTCTGACTCACCAAAGTTTATGAAATTAAAAAAAATTGTTAGCCTTTAGGGTGCCATTAGACTCTTTTGTTCATTATGGTAAATGTGGTCTGACTGTGGCATTCTAAAGGGCTACACCCAAACTCTCCCGAAGGACCACGGAGTGCCTAGAGCTCTGCAGGTTGGCCAAAAACTAAGGTTCCAGTTCTTAAAGTATATTTTCTGTTCTCACCTGAAGACATCAGCAGAACAGCCTGAAGAAGAGCCACTTCCGTGTCATCGAGGTTGAATGATGAAAGGGACATGCCCAGGTCAAAAATGGCATCGGATACTACACCAAGACCCCCGTTTTTCAGCTGGCCCCTTGTCACCGCCATCTCCCCATTTAATGTTAATGTTTCACTCTCGGGGTCGTAACGAACTGCAGCTCTGAGGGACATGATCTCCATGCAGCAGCCTTTCAGAAGGATGATCTGGTCTTCACATGGCAGCTGTATTTGGAGATTATGGAGAAAATGTTTTTTTACTGCACTTAAGAGGAAAGCATTTTGTCAAGAGTGACAGTGCTAACATGAAACCATTTCAGTGGTACACAGTTCCAATTCATTCATTTCCTAGGTTATGTTATGATTACTAAGGTCAGCTTGTTACTCATTCATCTGCCACCTTCCAGTGACAAGAATGTACACTGAATGTACTTAAGAGCAGCTTAAGAGCAGGGATTGAAATGCCCAATCTTCTTCTATTAAGTCATCCATTTCATTTTTAAGCCTTAGTTGGAATTCACATGAGGGAAATTTGCCAGAAAAAAGGCAGGTATATATTAATAAATACACCATAGCTACTACAGTCATGTTTTAGATACATACCATTGACTCAACAAGGGTACTTATTGTTATAATACAGCCTATACAGCCTTCTTTATCCCACCCGCACCCCACAGGCCATTAGCCAATGTGGACTGTAAGCCTTCAGGGCTGGCAGCCATATTGTTGTGTCTGTAACAATCACCCTGAGCCCATCACAGAAGGGAGACACAGAAACAAAAATAAATCTTTTTTTAGATCTGCTTTGCATTAAGTTATTTTTAGTCCTCTCCTGAGATTCACATTGGGAGGGGGCTAGGATGGGATAAGGGATAAAGTCTTATTTATATTACTAGCACAGCGATTGCTTTTAGTCTTGTCAGAAAACATTCAGAGTGAGTGACAGAATCTTTGCTTGGCAGAAGTGAAAGCAACGCTCCGAGGGCAAAGACAGTTTTAAAAATGGAGTCTGTGGGAAAGGAGAATTGATGTTGATTGCACTGTCAGCTTAGTTTTATTTCCAGGAGTTGCCAGCTTTAGGTGCAGGGTGTTTGATCCAAAGGGAAACTGACTGATCCTAGTCAATCAGATTCCTCTCTGTCAGGCTAAATGGCACACACAGGACAGAAACCGCAGGAGACAATACAGTTTTCATTCTCAAGGGAAGGGATGCTGTTTCATAAGCAGAGTTGTGGGGGGAGAGACAAAGGGAAGGGAAAATAAAGGGGAACAACAAATAGGGAAAATAATTATGGGGCTAAAGCTGAAATATAATATAAATGTAATCTAGCACCAGCATGGCACAGCGGTTAGGATGTCAGAACAGGGCCTTGTTCAAATTCCCACCCTGGGCCAGTCCCTCTCTCTCATCCTACCCTGAGATACTTAATCTCTCAGCCTCACCAGGGTGCTTGTGGTGAGGATAAAATGGAGGAGGGGGTGCGATTAAGAAGTAATAATAAATAACCACAACTGATTTTGTTTTATGTCATAATTTGGAAACAAGCACAGGTCCCTTAGGATACATGGAGCCCTTCCATTCCTTTACCCTACCACAAAGCCATGGTCAGACCACCTTGCCCTGAGGGCCCGTCTGAATGTTTCACCCCAACCCTGTTTGGGCGGTGAGTGTATTTTAGCTCACCCGCTGAGCCAGATGGACCCGATGCGGCTTCAGATGGCTCTATGGGATCCAATGCCCCCTGGTGGTTCGTTGCATGAGCTTGTAGAGGATTGGCACAGCCGACTCTCTGCAGCCATCGATGAGATCGCTCCCTGACGCCCGTTGCGCCCTCACTCCAAGCTTGCACCTTGGTACACCCAGGAGTTGCGGCTCATGAAGCGAGGGCTAAGATGGCTAGAGAGATAGTGGTGGCATGCCCTTGACTAAGTTACAAGAACATCCTATTGGACATTTATGAGATCCTATGAGATGGCAATTAAAGCTGCGAAGAAAGAGTACTAAGCAGCTTCAATTGCATATGCGAGCTCACGCCCAGCACAATTATTTAGAACGATTCAGCCCATGACGACACTGCCACAAAGCAGGTCAAATGCTAGAGAACTGGATATTGGATATTTCACAGATAAAGTCTTGTCGCTCCGTCGTGACCTCCCCGCTACTGTTGAGACAGTGACTGAAATCAAGGCTCCATGCACATCTTCTAGTCAGATTATGGATCACTTCAGTTCACTCAGCCTAGAGGAAGTTGACAAATTGCTCCTGGCTGTACGCCCCACCACATGTCTCCTTGATCCGTGCCCATCATGGCTAGTGAAAGCTGGTCACGATGGGTTTCGGAGTGCCTTGGGGGAGATTATTAACAGGTCCCTCTTGGAGGGACTGTTCCATGGGACACTTAAGGAGTCAGTGGTCCATCCCCTCTTGAAAAAAAACATCTCTGGATCCGGCTGAATTGGCCAACTGTGGCAGTCCAGCTACAGAGCTTTTTGTATGACACTTCCATTTTAGACCCCTTCTAGTCTGGTTTTCGCCTGGGACATGGGACAGAGACTGCACTGGTCGCCCACACGGATGACCTCCGGAGGCACCTGGATCAAGGCGGGTCAGCAGTGCTGTTGTTGTTAGATTGTTGGCAGTATTCAGTATGGTTGACCATCAGCTACTGATCCACCACCTCACCGACTCTGGAGTTCAGGGGCTTGCGCCTTGCAATGGCTTGCATCCTTCCTTCAGGGTTGAGGACAAAGGGTGGCACTAGGGGAACAGCTGTCCCGTAGGCACCCACTGATTTGTGCCTCAGGGAGTGCCTCAGGGAGTGGTACTTTCCCTGATGCTGTTTAACATCTATAGGCGTCCCCTTGCCCAGATTCCCCAGAGGCATGGTCTAGAGTGTCACCAATATTCGGATGACACCCAGATCTATCTGTTGTTGGGCGGCCAGTCTGACTCTACCCTGAAAGATCTGGAGCAGGCATTACAAGCTGTGGCTGGTTGGCTTAGACTGAGTCAACTGAAACTGAATCTGACGAAGATGGAGGTCTTGTGCCTGAGCCGGGGTGGCCCGAGGGTAGGGATCCCACTCCCGACCTTCGATGGGGTGCAGCTGGTGCCAGTGCCAGAGGTTAGGAACTTGGGAGTGCTCCTGGATGCCTCTAACAATGGAGGCCCAGGTAGCAGCCACTGCCAAGTCAGCCTTTTATAATCTTCGGCTGATCAGGCAGCTGGGTCCTTTCCTTGAATGCAATGACTTGGCAACAGTGATCCACATGATGGTCACCTCGAGGTTAGACTACTGTAATACTCTCTGTATGGGGCTGCCCTTGTCTCAAATCCGGAAGGTGCAGCTAGTGCAAAATGCTGCGGCCAGGCTGTTGATGAGTCTACCTATACTGGAACACATCCATCCTGTGCTGAAAGCACTGCACTGGCTGCCAATAGCATACTGGATTCGCTTGAAGGTGCTGGTTTTGACCTTTAAAGCCCTTTATGGTCAGGGTCCGGCATACCTAAGGGACCACCTTTCCCCATATGTTCCCCAGAGAGCAGTGCAGTTAGGGTCCCAAAAACCGGTTGGCCCTTCCAGGTCCCAAAGACGCCAGGTTGGTGACAACCAGGGCCAGGGCCTTCTTAGTGGTGGCTCCATACTGGTGGAAAGAGCTCCCAGAAGAGATCAGGGACCTGTGGGACCTCTTTAAGTTCTGCAGGGCCTGCAAGATGGAGCTCTTCCACCAGGCATTCGACTAAGGAGCCGCATCATACACTGAGGAGTGTCCCTGTGCCATGGCCTCACCATCTTCAGCTTGCCCGTGCTGCATATATATGAGTAGATCAGTGGAGCTGGCGCTGGAGCACCCTCATTATTGCCACCTATGGAGTATTGTTTAAGTTTGAAATTCTCTGCTCTCGCACTTTATCTGAATATAGTTCCAGCACTTTAGGATAACTGATTTGTTTATGGTTTTTGGTTGTTTTTATGATGGATTTTAATTGTATTTATATATGCATTTTATGTAAGCCGCCCTGAGCCTTTGGTTGTTTTTATGATGGATTTTAATTGTATTTATATATGCATTTTATGGGCAGGGTATAAATTGAATAAATAAAATAAATAAATAAAATGAAAGACTAAGCAAGCAGTGCAGATGCTGTCCCTTTGCATTTGTTGTGTTTCTAAGAACAGATGTTGGTGAGTACAGGGATGGGGCTAGAAAGGGGCACTGATGGCTCTCAAACCCCCCCACCCCCCCGTTCCTATCTCTCCATGTATTTTTATCATAAATTCAGTCTGTGAAGAGTCAGCATTGGGCATTTGTTTGTCAAAAAGATCTGTATCCTGACTTGCTCTTAAAAAATTGCAACAAAGGCAAAGTATGTCAGACGTGCTGTGCATTGCCTGATCTCTATGTAGGTTTTCAAGGTGAAGACAACGCCACTGAAGTTTAACTGGTTCTAAATCATGCAATGATATGGACAACCTTCCCCATATATTTATTTATTTATATTTATATATTTATTCGATTTATACCCCACCCTCCCCACCGAAGCAGGCTGAAGAGGGTCGTACAGCGTTTTCTAAGACGCAGGCATTCCAGTCATCATACTTGGGCCCTCTATCTCTTTTGCTGTATTGACAAAGCCACTGAGGTTTTCTAGGGAGAGGGATGGTATGGCAGTCATCAAATATATCAAAGTTGTTCACAGTGTTGGTCACACTCATTGTAACCAGGAGAGGGGTGAGTCTATGGAAGTGAAGAGAAAAGATTATAAAAAGCAGAGGGTCAGGGGTACATACCGGTCTACCCACAAGTGCCTTATTGGTCTCCTCCAGTAGCTATTCCTAGCAGGGCACTATCATTGCCACCAGCACAGAAACAGCAAATAATGGATGCATGCATGTCAGTCCTCTCTCTTCTGCTCTCTTTCCTTCTGAGAGCCTAACTAGATGTGACATTTTGTACGGGTGCACTGACAGTTTGCGACTGTCAGGTTAGACTCTGTGTAGCCCCCGTGGAAAACACCATCAGTCAGGAGTCAGGAGGGCAAAGTGCCGCTACTGCTCGCTTTGCCTCCTCCTTCCTTTCCTGCACTTCCCACCACACTATGAGGCAGCTTCAGGGGAGGCAGCTTCTGGGCACTCCTTCCTTCTTTGCTCTGCTCCTTCTGCCTCTGCCCCACCAGGCCCTTTCTCATCTCAGCCCAGCTTGGAGCATGGCCCAGGGGTCTGGATTGTTGGGGGGGGGGGGAAGATGATGCAAAAGGAAGACAGGAGGATGCCCATAACTGCGGGGGGGGGACCACAACGACAAAGCCAGCAGCAGCTGCACTTCACCATCTCGTTTCCTAACATGGTGTGTTCCACCATGGCAGCAATAAGTCTAGGATTACACAGACAGTACACGTGTACAAAGTCATGTCTGGTTAGGCCGCATGAACTGAATGGACAATCCCACAAGACACTAGAAAGGAAAGAAAGACAAAAGAGGATGTTCAGGGGTCTGCTGCAGCAGAGATAGAATGGTGACCCGTGCAGTGTCAGTTCTCAGCCCTTCCTTCCGTAACTAGCAGCAGTGCTGCCATGCCCGATAGGACAGCTGCTTGCTGCAAACGGACCTGAGCTCCAGAAGAGAGGCAGCAGTGTGCAAGCAATTTCTCTCGCAGGCCCAGAGACAGGGTTGCAGCCTGAGGCTGGCAACCAGTGGGAGACCTCCTGGGGGAGGGGGCTTTGCTGGAGAAGTTCTGCTGCCATCCAGGACACAGTGACTTGGAAGTGATGTGATTGCATAGTAGCAATGCTGTATAGAGTTTTGGGCAAATGCTAGAGAGTCACCTGACGCAATGATATTACTTTTGGGTTGCAGTGGAAGTCATTTAAAGGCATCAGAGTGATGCCGATCACACGATTCCACCAGCACTTCTCTCCCCTGTTCAGCTGATTTGTGGTGGGCAGAGCTAGTGGGGGCACGAACTGGCCTTCCTATCCAGAGAGGCCTAGGCTACTTCCACCTTTTGAGGCCCCTAGCCATAAAAAATATACAAAATGGTGACACAGAATGTGAAACTTAAAATAGTTAAGAGAAACAATGTGAAACTGTTCAGGAGGTGTGAAGCTTAACAAATGCCAAAAAACCTGAAAGTGTCTAAATATGAGGTCCCCTTTCAGCTTGAGGCCCAGACCAAATGGCCCCTCCCCCCCCCCCCCCGGTATGAAAGGAAGGCAAATAATCCAATGTTCACAAAAGCCATTCTCTTTGTCCTTCAGTTTTGTTACTGGTATTGGGAGCCTGGAGGGGAGGGAAACTGGGACAGCAGTGAGGAAAACTCTTCTCTCCGTCTTGCAGCTGCGGCCCAAAAAGCCAGTGACCAACAGCATTCAGGGATGTTAGCAAGTTCTATACACCATAAAATTCACGTGCAATGTCTTACCTAACCATGCAATCTTGCTAATTGTAGAAACAATGGCCACAGGCTAACACTAATACCCTTATTAAATTACATGGGAGCAGGCAATTAATTATGAGGTATTCCAATCTAATTATAATGTTACGCTTTATTTTTAGTACAATAATAAAACTCTGGAAAATGTTATTGTTTTATTTTATTCTTCTAATAAGGTACTTAGTCAACACAGAAAAAAGAGAAATCACATTTGTTGGTCTAATGTCCCTTATCTAGCCTAAACCTTCTTTCACCTAAGAACTATGTATTATTTAGGATGACAATAGGCAGTAATGTAATGCCAAATCATGGTTTGGCCCTAAATTATGCATTTTGCAATAAGGGAAGTTTCCTTCCACCAGTGGAAAGCATCTCTGCTAACAGAACAGATCCTTAGGACTGAACCCTGCTGTTTTGGGAGGCCTATTGGTGCAAGTATTTAAGATCATGTGGAGATGAGACAAATACTGTAAAAGGACTTGAAAGCATAATTTAGGCATAATGTATTTTCATTGCATGTTGATATTAATTCATGATATCAGTGATTCCTTTTGTTACGAGACTTCCTCTATGGAAGGAAGCCTTCTTATAATCAGAGGAAAACTACCGTTGGAGGAAGATTCCTCACTTAGTAGAAAAGAATCATTGGATTAAAATCAGTGTTATTTTAAAATCAAAAAGCAAATGTCACATTTTTTACACAAAAGTTTATCCAGTAGCAGAAAGCAAGAAAAAGTTAAATGGGAAAAAAAAATCATACCTCACAGAACATAGGCAACTTTTTGGCAAAATCCACCACTCTTGTGATTGCTGGTGTGATAATTTTTGTAAACTGGCTGAAGGCTTCTAAATCTACTTTCCCACCTTCTGGGGCATTTACTATTGGTGCTTGTCCAATATCCTCTGGCTAGTGACAGAAAAGGGGGAAAAAAGATCAAGAAACAAGTTATTTAGAGTGGAGATGGGATCTTCTTAAATCTTTATGTGATGTTGGCAGTTTAATTTATTAAGGCCATGATTTAAACAACAACACACACCCCCACAGACACATGGATATTGTTTTAGTTGTATTCATTTTTATAGAACCTATTCATAAGAATCAGTTGCAAACAAACTTGTATGCACATTAGGTGTCAGACATGACTCATTTTGTAGGCAGTTCTGTATTTTGTACATGTAGCTACTTGATCACATCTGTTTACATAAATTTTTAGAAGCAATTTATCTGCCTGTATCTGAAAACTTGTCTTCCTTGCTGCTCCAAGGAAAATTTATCCTCTTTTTGATGCCAAAAGGAACGAAGACTTTTGGCCTTACCTTTATTTTGGGAGTGGACTTTCTAACCTTTTCTGTAATCATTTTTTGCTACTTTAGGGGTAGTCAGTCTTCATACAAACATACAAAAAGAATGCCAGAGGCTACTTGCATACCTGTACTAACCTGACTGCTACGAAAAAGGAACAGGACAGCAAGATTCATACTTTGATAACTTGAGGTGAAAGCAGACAAGCTGAGAAATCCAGCTCAAGCAGGTTTGTGCTGTTAATTTGGCCCTCTTATTCTCTGAAGAAATCCTGGTAAATCGGCCCAGCACGACCTGAGTTTGGCCTATGACAGAGTTGGCTATTAAGAAAACGATTCCTGCTCAGTGAAAGCAACAATCCAACTATGCAACCTCAACTGTCTAGAACAGTGGTGGCGAACCTATGGCACGGGTGCCAGAGGTGGCACTCAGAGCCCTCTCTGTGGGCACGCGTGCCATTGCCCCAGCCAGGCCCAGACCATCATTAAAGTGTCGAATTCTCTGCCAAATAATTTTAAGTAAATGAAAGCATTTGGGATTGCTTTCCTTACTTTGTTTGGATCATCTTAAGTTAATGTATGAGTTGTTTTTTCTAAAGTAAAACCTCAGTATTCAGGTTAAATTGCCGTGTTGGCACTTTGCAATAAATAAGTGGGTTTTGGGTCGCAGCTTGGGCACTCGGTCTCTAAAAGGTTTGCCATCACTGGTCTAGAAGATACTGTGACTGTTAACAAGAGCTGTGTACTGATGGGAAAAAAAATCGAGTTCAGCTAGTCAGCTGAAGAGGCTGAGTCATAGTAAAAAGCAGGGAAAAGTTCACTGGCTGGGAGAAAGGAAATGGTGAATAGATCTTACCAGAAAGGACATGACCTTCCATGCTTGCTTCTCCCCCCGCCCCCTTTTTGAAAAATGTAAAGAATTAGAATTGGTTTTTAAAAGACTCTGGTCATGCTGTCTCCAGGGGAAATGATCAAGTAAAATTAGGCGCACGTCTGCAAAAACAGAATTGTTATTGCATCTGAGGTGTCACTCCCAATCAAGGAAAGAGGTGCAAAAGTTCAGAGCAGAACAAGATGGTTAATGTTTTCAAAATAATCTCAAAATAAGTTGATACGACTTCCGGTGGATGGCTGCACGCTGAGCAGTCGCACCTCCCGGACCTCCCGGGGGTGAAGCTGCGCGCAGGTGGAAAGGAGGGGGGGCCATGTATCGCACTCCCCCCAGGAGACTGGCGAAAGCCTCCTGGCCAAGGGACTTCTGAGAGGTTGCCTCTTCCCCAGCACGATGCTGGGGAATCGAGGCGCTTCTCCGTCCCTGTGGTCCCTCCGTCTGTGTCCGTTTGGAATTAGTGAAGCTGGCCGGAATAAGCGCAGGAGATCGAGCGGTGGAAAACAAAAGTAAAAGAGGTCGAATGGCCGATAATGAACGTGAGTCAGATGGAAGCAATTTGATAAACTAAAAAAAAAAGCTCCCCCAAAACCCCACGGACTAGAGGGCAAAGAGAGTGGGGGAGGGGCCCCTCCCAGGCGCACAAACTCTAAGCAAGATGGGGGGGAGCAGAAGCAAAGCGGTTAAAAAACTGCTGGAAAGACTTACCAAGGCACGCATGAGCAGTGGAGGGCAAATTCAGAGACTTTTAAAAGATGGGCGAAAGTAAACAATAAAAAAGATGGCGGGGAAGAGGACGGAGAGGGAGAAGCTTTTAAAAACAAAAGGAGCTGAGAGTCCAAGACCGGAAGGAACCACCAAGTTGGCTAAAACAATGGCAGAGTCCCTGCGCCCCCTGCTGGAGCAGATGACTAATCTTCAAGAGCAGCTGTCAAAAATGAATCAATGCATATCTACCCAGCAGACACAAATCAACGATACACTTAAAATCCTGGACCAAACAACAGAGAAAGTGAAAGAGGTTGATGCCACCACACAAAAGGTGAAGAAAAGGGTGCATAAATTGGAAAAGAAGCAAAACTCAACAGAAGAACAGCTTTTACAAATACAAATGGAAAAAGCAAATCTGGTTCTTCGCTTCCAGGATGTCCCAGAGAGCAAAGGAGGGAATCTGAAGCATATGATGAGCGAAGCATTGGCCCCAGTGACAGATTTAAAGGCAGAGTATTTTATGAGCGAAATGGATGTGGTCTACAGGTCCTATTCCATATACATAAAGAAGAAGAATCTGCCTGGGGAAATTGTGGTGAGATTTTCGAAGAGGCACGTAAGGGATTGTATCCTGAGAGCGACGGCGGGGACACCTTTGAGAATTGAGGACAAGACTATTCGGATTTTGAAAGATATTCCATTTGAAATAAGACAACGGAGAAAGAAGTATAAAGATTTAATCCTTTTTGTTCAAACCAACGCAATTGGCTATAGGTGGTTATACCCAGAGGGCGTGACCTTTAAACTCCAGGAAAAGAAAGAAAAGATTGACTCTGTGGCAAAAGCACGAGACTTTTTGAGAGCACAGCGGGGTGAGCCAGAGGAGGTGGATAAAGAAGAAAAGGACAGTAAGTCCAGTGGCGAGCTGGACTCGGGGTCCTCTGGAGAGGACTCTCTGTCGGAGAAAGGTGCAGCGGCTCCTAAAAGTCCTTACAAACTGCGGAAGAGACAAGACAAGAAGAAATGAAGGTTGAAAGACTCTGAATGGAACTCTGATAAATAAGATATTTTAACATGGAGATGCTGAGGGAATCTTTCCTAACAGTTAAACTTAAGATTTAAAAGTTATAAAAGCATGACTGACTGTTCATAGAAAGTAGCGTTTAAAGGGATGGTATAGTATATAAGCTATTTTGAAGATCTCCTCTCTTGGGTTTTTAGTCAGTAGTGGTTATCTTTACTTTCTCCCTAAATGTAGTACCCCTCCCTTTTTTCATTTGTAGTTTGTAGTCTATATATAAAATGCAATTAAAAAATCCCCTCCGGGGGCCCCCAAAAAATTAAGTTGATACGTTTGTGAAAATAATTCCTTTCTCTGTTTCCTCTGGGGTTTTCTTCTTCTTGGAGTTTCCTGCAGAGGATCCTTTGTTTTTAAAGGGCTGGGTCTGAGTTCTTTAGACTGAAGTCAGATTTCCTGTAGCCACACATAACATGTGGGGAATGGCTTTTAAAGAATAAAACAGCGCCTGTTTGAGCTCGGGCTGCTGCTGCAGGGGCGCAGGGGGGATGCTCTTGACTTCCCTGATGAGCTGTTTTTCAGCACCAAAACAGCACTGTGGGGAGTTATTTCCTCATTTTTGATACTCCACAGGGAGTATTCTGTACACATGGAGCAGCAAAAATGGGGAAATAACTCTTTCTCCACACTGTTTTTGGACAGGAAAACGGGTTGAGGGTAAGCAGAACTTCCTCCCCCTGCAGCAAAGTTGCAAGCCCAAATGAGCTTTCACTTATTTTTTAAAACCATTCCCCACCAGCTGCTGTGTGGATATACAGAACCTAGACCCAGCTCTTTAAAAGCAAACACATATAGTTTGGCCCTTAGACAGGTAGTAATAAATTTCCTTTGTAATATAGAGGGCTTAGCTTTTAACTAGTATCCATAATACAGTATGGGTAGATGTAATAGAGCTATATTTTATCACTATTTGTCTTTATTTGCATATTATTTTTATATGGTATCTTGCTTAGTCATTTTATTCATTTATAATCTATATCAAACTGTAACATAACCAATATATTTAGTTCTCAACATGGCAAAAACTATGGATAATTGAATCCAAAGACTGGATCCATGAACAGACAAGACAGATCTCTCTGCAAACCTGAAAAATGCCCCAAGTGTGCAGAAGAATCTGAAATTTAAAAAACTGCATTGGGGCTAAATCCCTCCCCCCCAATAATAGTAGCCGCACCTGTAGCTTTAAGAAAGTAATGCCCACAGTGGCTGTTGCTGCGCAATCACACAGTACTGACAGCCTTCAAACCTTGGCTTCCATTAATAAAATACAGGAAAGAGGAGGAATAGCCCTTTCAGGTTGTTTTGGGGTTTGAGGGTAGACTCACTAGAGCCAGGCACACCAGCAACAACAGGTGACTTGCTACCATATAACTTGCATGACTGGCTGCTTGCTAATATTCAACAGCAGCCACCCCACAAAAGCCAGTGTGGCATATTATAGTTTTAGACTGGTATCTGGGAGACCCAGGTTCAAATTCTCACCGTACTATGGAAGCTCACTGGGTGACCTTCAGCCAGTCACACACTCAGCCTAACCTATTTCACAGAATTGCTGTGAAGATAAAATGGAGCATGAGGGGAAAAAGCCAGCTGCTTTGGGTCCTTGTTGTGGAGAAAGGCAAGGTATAAAAGAAATAATAAATATAGCTGAAGATGCATGGCAGATAAAAGGTACATTGGATGATAGGTGGGACAGAGAGAAAAGGCAGAGAAAGGTGAGGATAGGGAGGTTGTCAGGAGGAGGGAAAAAGGAAATAGTGTGAAGAAAATGAGATGCCCCCTGCACGTCCTTGTGGGTTCTCTGTTTGTTATAACTAATAGTTAACATGAACATGACCCCAGCTGCAGATACATAAATCTAGAGACTAGGGCCATGTACACACAGAAAGTATTTTTGTACAGACCTCATGGACCCCCAGATTTCCTGAAAAAAGAGAAAATGTAAAATGTAGATGGGAGGGTTAATCTGTCCAAACAGAGGAACATTGTCTGTGCTTGCACAGACTATATTAAAGAGTGTCCCTGCAAGGGCCATGCATCAGCTCAGTGCCTCCTTCAGCCCAGCTGGATATAAATATAGCTAGGCCAGAAATGGTATCATGCCAACAACACTAAGGAAACCAGCCATTGGTGGTAGCACTGCAGATGGGGGCCCAGGCCAGTGAGTGACCTGCCCTGAAAGTGAGTGGGCCAGCAATGGAAAGGGGAGGAGAAAAATGATGGGATTGCCCTCTGTAAGTCTTGTGAGTCCCCTGCTTTTACCAATATAATTTGTTGATGAATGTATCTGTGCTTTCTTGCTAGTAAATATCATCTCTGTGTTGGTAAAGGTGTTGTATTTATAAATGTTATACAAACTCTCTACTATCTCTCACGGAATTAATACTTGCATGCTATGGATAATAAATTGATATTTAGACCATGACAGTATTTTGATGGGGTGAGGGGCGATCCTGTATAGCAATTTTGTGACCATTACTAAGTTATAAAAGCAAAATAACCATTTGAGAGGACAAGGACTGTGTTATAACTGATGCATATAACTATGTCTAATAGCCAGGAGCTAGTTTCCACACAGATGGTGACATCTGTACAACAGGGCTAGCATTGCCTGCTGTTTATGGCTCTGCAAACCCAAGAGCTCCCTTCCCAAATGTGCAGAAAAATCTGAAATTCTTTTTAGAGTGTGCAAAACATTGAAAAATCCCTAACTGGAGTTCTGCTGGGATTTTGGGTTGTCACAGAGACCAAAATGCATAGTGTGAGATACTTATCTGGAGATTTGGTGCAGAACTGTGGACCGGGCCTGGACAAGGAGGACAATGCAGTGATAAAGATTTGGGTGGTCATGGGAAACAACTATGATTGGTTGAAGGAGAACCAAGAAGAGCAGAGGAGAGGCAACAGGGGAATGGGAGATGACAGTGTCCAGGAGAGGGATAGAAGGTGACAGCAACCAGGTGGGGAGGGGTGGGAAAGCGGTGGTGGTGATTTCCTTCTTTCTGCAACAGGTCCTTGAGGGTCCTTCTCTTACTATTATTCATAAACAATGCTGCTGTTCAAGGCTACTTGCCTACGGATGGATATACAGTTATATTTCAGACTCAAGAGATCATTCCAGCAAGTTATTCCTATATGTGGAAACATGAAAATGTGAGAAATGATTAAATGTATGTAAGTTCTTTTACATAAGCCATGTATTTGTACTCCAACTAAAAAAAACCCCTATGTTATCACTGAATATATCTAGGACTTCGATGTCCTCTTGGAGTTCTGTCAAACAGGCTTTCACGGGACCACAAATTAAAATTGCCGTAGCTGACTCGATCAACATCCATCTAGAGAAGTGTTCTGTTTCCAACAATGACCAGGTAGATGCTTCAGGGCCTGCCTCCTTATTTGCTTTTATATCAAAGTAAGCCCCGTCTCACAATGGGGATATACATTCTCAACAGTGAAGTGAAGGGAAAGCCAATATATCCATAAGAACGACTGATGTTTCTGGAGCACACTATTAGAACTGCATGAAATCAGAAAACATGATAATGAATGCAACCATGATTACATTCATTCTTTTCCTTATAGACATCCCCTGTTCTGTTTAGACAGCACAGACAATGAACCATGTTAAACTGGTGAATACTTGCAGACTCTATTAGCATAACTTTAATTCCCTTGTTCTTAAAGCATCATACTATGCAGCTTCTTCATGGTGTTAGCATTTTTTTAAAAAGCAGACTTTATCTTTCAGAAAGAAACTTTCAAACTGGAAGATGACCTGCAAGGTCCCTTCCAACTCTAACATTCTATGATTCTACATGCTAAGATTATAATTTTACTACTATTCTTCAGTGATCTAAATGGATAAAATAATACCAAAGCTTGCAGTATCAACAGAACCAATAATAGGCCACTTAACTGGAATAACCCCACTGACTTCAATGGTTCCAGTAAGTTACACTCATCAATTATGTTGTATCTTTCAACTGTGTAGTTAGACTGAACAGCCACCTCCACATAAAAATCTTACAGCAAGGAACTATGTCTACTAACATTTTGATAGGACACAGGCAACCCAAGTGTTGATGATTAAAAGAAAAAAAAACCTTTTGAAAATATGCGGATAAAGGAATGGCCCAGGAGCACTCTACATTCTTATGGTTCCTACCAGAAATTTCCTTTTTTGTTTCCAATGGCTTCCTTGTGCATTGGTAGCCACATGTGCTTCGGTAACAATTTTGATAAGCTCCCACTCTTCATCTGTTGGCTCAGGTTTTATCCCAATTGTTTTCTGCAGCTCTTCCCGACGTCTCTTCTCTCGATTTTCCTCTATCAGTTTTCTTTTTGCTAATCGCTTGCTGTCATCCAACACCACTAAGAAGGAAAGATCATTTTAAAGAAAAACAGATTGGCAGACACTTCCTGGAATGGTGTAATCTGTTTTTTGGGGATTAGGGTCATCTATTTTGGGAGTGAAAAAGAAATACTTGGTCTAACCAGTACAAACAAATCTACTACAGCTGAACCATGCATACTACCTTCAGAAACAAGGAATTTTTGGGATCACTAAAATTTAGGCAACACTTTTCAAAACTGTCATTTTAGTCCCTCTCACTAGTGGACACAAAAAATTTAGCATGTTCATCTCTCTTTGTAGGAATACTTTGTAAGTAAAATCATGCAGAAAAGCCTAAAAATCAGAATAGCTGTTTAGGATGAGAAACTCATCACAATTACATTAATTGGGCTATTTAATCATACAAAAGAACAGGGAAAAGGAAGAACAGCACCTGGTTGAAGGTAACTAATGGATTTTCAAAGAAAGTGTCATATACTTGGGCAAGTCAGTAATTTTTTTCAAAGAAGATATAACATGGCAACTCAACTCTCCCCTCCAAATAATATTTTCCATTAATTTTGACCTTGACTTTTGCTCAAGTGGATATTATAAAATGAGTTCTAGTTTAAGAGCCTTAGAAAGTGGTTGAATGCTCTTACCCCCTTACACATTCAAGTAGCTTTCTCTATATGAATTGTATAGCTCAAGAGTTTGGTTATTCATAACTGATGCTCTTTTGGGAGCAGTAGTGTAATTGTCACTTTTCTTTTATTAATTGCCACTTAAGTTTTCAGGAGCTATGTTTTGGAGGAAAAGATATTTTGTTTGGCATGATCCCTTGTCTGCTTTGGCTGGCATGAACTTCTTGTTTGCACATTAAATGCTAAATGGTGTTGAGTTTTATAAGGACAATAATGGTCTGCAAATGCTTGACAAATGCCAATAAAAAGTTCAGGGAAAACTGTTCAACAGGTGACTAATTCTGATCACTGCCAACATGGATGGGGTTAGAACGTAATCACATAGTATTGGAATATCACTTCAAACAATCCCATTAACAGGATGTGTAAAATTGAGATATTCCACCAGGCCTACAGTTGAGGGCAGCAACAATTCTTGCCATGGCCTCCACCTTGGCCTTTACCAACCCCAGTCTGTGACCCACCCAATGGTGGGAGCGAAGTTATACATACACTACCTATTATCTGGAGGACGTATACTGTTATACTTGTTTGTATCATTTATCATTTTCTATTTATTGTTTTTAACTTGTTTATGTCTGATTATGATGTACACTGCCCTGAGCCCTTCAGGGGAGGACGGTTTATAATATAATAAATTTAATAAATGATAATATACATACTGAGGTAATACACAAAGAACAAGATATTTTCCAGCTTGGATCCAAAGAATTCCACAACCAATTTTACATCTTTGCCTTTTGTTCGCTGAAGAACTGATTTGGGGTGGGGGGTTGTCAGTGATTCCACTGGCCATTCCAACACTCTTGACCCACTCAAATGTAACTCTTTGGATTCCAGCCTTTATTTTGTTAGTTTTTTTTTTTTAAAAAGGATTCTTCTTTTGAATGTCCCCCCCCCCCCCCGGCTTATTACTCTAGTAATAGCCACTATCACTGGGGTTACTAGTAGTTTGGTTTTTCATTTTAAGGAAGCCACTCTCTTATATACTAATGAAAGATAGTGTATCAGTTCCACTGAGCAAGCAGGGTAATGTAAGTTCTCCAAGGGTTAATCTTGCAGCCAAATGCTCTGGTTCCTTAGAAGTGGAGAGCTCGTTTTCGTTATGGCTAAAAATAAAACAAACAACTGCAGGATGACTCATACGGCAACAGTATCCAACTTCCCATTTTTCCATAATAATTTTCTTCCTGCAAGACACAGTTCCAAATGCTCCCACTCCTGTGATAAAAATTGTTCATCTCCTTAATATCATATAAAATGATTGGGGCCAAAGAAAACCTAGTCCTGTTGTCCCGTCCCCCCCCAGTAAAGAAAGAATTAAAGCTCTACGAAAAAAAATAGCTAGGGATAACAAAAATTATTTTTGATCATCACGTAATGTAAAAATGAAAAAAGTGGTAATTACATTGTATTGAAATAAACACACCCAATAAAAAAAGAACACAGCAAAATAATTTTTTTTAAAAGCTTACAATCTGTTGCCATGCCAACATAGATGCATTTCTTGAAGCGACATTCCTGGCATTGGTTTCTTGTGACTTTGTCTATCACACATTTTCCTTCATATTTACAGGAGTAGGTTGGGTGAAGATTTTTCTGAATAGTTCTTCGGAAAAAACCCTAAGTGGAAAAGAGAGACGCAAACCATCAAACATTTTTCCGGCTATTGGATTTTTACAAATGTATAACATAATTCTAGAATGATATTGCCTTCGTTTTGCCCTTGAACTCTGAATTTTAAGTTGAATTAAACTAGAAATACACATGAGTTGAACGCATACCGAGAAATTTTGGATTTTGGGTTGGCATTAACAGCATTTACAGTAAAATGCTAACTCATCTTCAGAGTGGAGAATACATTCAGACGTCCTGCACTATCAGACTGGACGAATACATTAGAAAATTAAACTTTGGCTGGGTTTCAAGGTGAAATTCTGACTGCATTGGACCAGACTGCACTGAGAGGAAACAAGTAACAAACTTGGCTGTACTTTTGAGATCATTTGGATCTCAGAGATATTTAACTTTACAGAAATCTTTAGATAGCATCAAAGCTTCTTGTTGTACATAGGCTTCACTAACATACCCAATGGTGTTTACTATTGGGTAACATGGTGCTGGTTTGTCATTAATGAGGAAAGGAGTTGGGTTTTTGCAGGGCCTTATTTTTCTGGGGGAACACGCCGGAAGAGAGTTCCAGAACCTCTTCAACAAAATTCTTTTAAAAATGTTTAAAAGTTCATGAGTATTCAGTATACAGATTGAAAACTTCCTTTCCCTCTTGAGAGTTCTGGCACCTCTTTTTAAAAAAGGGGGGGGGGAGCCCTGGGTTTCTGTAATTCAAAAAGAGAAGAATATAAGGGATTTTGGCAATATTCCTCAAATACATAAAGTTTCCTTACACATGACAGAAATCAGTTGTTCTCCATGTCTACTCTGGACAAAAGAAAGAAATAATGGCTCAGACTAAAAAAACCTTAGATTGAACATTAAGAACTTCCTATTTTAAAATGCTGGGAAATTGACACTTTGCCTTGGGATGTGTTGGAATCTCATTCACTGCAGATGTTTAAGAACAGGTTAGATAAGCATTTGATTAGATTTTCAGCTATAAACTTTAGGTGGAATCTGTCCTTTGATCTCTGACTGAACAGACCTCTCTAGAGCCTTTCCATCCACATAATTCAATTATTTCCATGGCTGACAGTGATGGTGCTTTGACAATGATGGCATAAGATGTGGCTAGATCAAGAACACATTAGACCTTTTACAGCTATATTTCTCTTGGATTCTAAGAATGAAGACAGCCATATATTTTCACAGAAAACAGCAGGCAACTTCTGCTGTCATGTTATATCTTTCTTCACCACAACAGGAGTTCTGTCGTCACACAGATTCAAGCTTTTATGTAATCACTGTTTCCATTCTTCACAGAGAAAATAGTGATTTTAGATACTTTGGCTTGCATGCCAAAACTGCATTCATTGGGGCTTGTGTGGGATATGTTTCCAAATACTGCCTATTAAATAGCGCCTATACATGAGAAACAGCAAGGATAGCCTTGCTGCAAAGGCAGGGGGAGGGAAGACAGCTTTGCTGTTACTTGCTCTATAACAAAGTTGGCTTGTGAGTACAGGAGAAGAGAAGCAGCAGTCTTCCAAAGGTTTTTCTTTCCAAACCTGCTTAAACAGTAGCTTCTTATGTGCATATATATCCAGAGGTCATTTTGGGGGGAACGCGGGGGAACGCAGTTCCCCCGGGTGAGGTGCAGGGGGCGGGGCACATGACGAAGCCCCGCCCCCTGCTTCCGGCCACCCCGCTTCCAGCCCTCATTCAGCCAGGAGGAGGCAAAAGAAGAGGGAGGGTAAGTTGCTTCCTCCCCTCCTCTCCCCACCCCTGCCTGCCTGGGGCCAGGGAGGGCCTTGGCGGGGCTTCCTCACACTCCCGCTGGCCTTGCAGGTCCACCGCCGGGCCCCTGATGTCAGGGGGTGTGGCATATGCTAATGAGTTATGATAATGAGTTCCCCTAGCTCTTTTTCTACGAAATGACCCCTGTATATATCTACTAGCCTGATACCCGTGCTTTGCTATGGTATTTAAGTTTCGTAAATCCAATTATAAACAGTGTTCCCTCTGAGTTAGTGTGAGCTAGTTCACAGTTTTTTATCTTCCGGCTTGCACATTTTTATTATAGTAGTAGTAGTAGTAGTAGTAGTAGTAGTAGTAGTAGTAGTAGTAGTAATACTTTCAATTTATTAATCGCTTTCCCCAGTGGGCTAAAAGCGATGTACAGTTACACATTTTAGACAGGGGACTAACAATGTTCATAGAGGATAGGGAAGACAACATATATTCATTTAATTACACACACTGTCACTGCACGGTGTAAACGTCTTCTGGCTTG